TGTCCAGCACAGCCGGACCCAGGCCATCACCCCATGGCCCCAGGTATGCCCAGCACAGCCGGACCCAGGACGTCACCCCATTGCCCCAGGTATGCCCAGCACAGCCGGAGCTCAGCTGTCACCCCACACAGCGCTCACCTTCCTGGATGAGGAGGCTCTCATGGGTCAGCCTCAAGGCATTCTCATCCACGTGGACTTGGATGACCGTCTCCTCCTCCTCGCTGGGCGAGAGCAGCCAGAAGGCCTGGTCCACAAGCAGGTTTGCCAGGCAGTGATGAGTGAAGCCTGCAGAGGCCAGGCCCAGTCACCCGTGGGCTCCAGAAGAGGGGCAGGGAGGCAGAGAAGCCTGTGTGGCCCCATGTCGGTTGAGTCCTGCACTGACCAGGTCCAGGGAGGTCATGGAGGACACCCACCGGCCCTGGGGTGCCCACAGTGTTGGCGACACCCAGCAGCCATGGTCTGACCATCTGGGCTGTGAGAGGCCAAGCCCAGTTCCATTGCCCACCAGCGGTGACCATGGTCAAGTTATCTGACCTCTCCACGCCTCCGTATTCTCCTCTGTTAGACGGTGACCACGTGGCTGGGGGCCGTGCAGGCCACGGGGGCTGGGGGCCAGCAGCAAGGTGGGTCTAAAACGCACCTGCGTGAGCCCTGCCCGCATTTCCATTTCTATCAAGGGAAGCCTCGTTTCTGGGATGCTGCGAGCTCCCCACTCCCATCTGGGGTAGCGAGCCTTCATTCACTGCAGCTGAACTAGGAGGCTCGTGCACACTTAAGGCAAAGACAAGTGATCTGAGAATACTTTCCCCACTCAGCATAGAGTGGACTCTGCAGGACGGGGACGGGAAGTCTGCTGCCCTCTGGATGGACGCCCCTGCCTTGTGGCCATCACTGTGGAAGGGCAGCCGAGGATGAGCCACTTCCTCCAAGAGCCGATCAAGGAGCCCACATACACAGTGGGGTAAGCATCGGCCCTGCTCACAGGTGCTCGGGAATTGTGGCTACAATTCTCAATTCTTTTTTTTTTTTTTGAGACAGTCTCCCTCTGTTGCCCAGGCTGGAGTGCAGTAGCGCGATCTCAGCTCACTGCAACCTCTGCCTCGGGTTCAAACGATTCTCCTGCCTCGGCCTCCCGAGTAGCTGGGAATACAGGCGCCCACCACCACTCCCAGCTAATTTTTTGTATTTTTGGTAGAGACGGGGTTTCACTGTGTTAGCCAGGATGGTCTCCATCTGCTGACCTCGTGATCTGCCCACCTCGGCCTCCCAAAGTGCTGGGATTATTATTCCTAATTTTTTCAGCCCTAAAGTGAGGTGGTGTAGAAAGATCCCCAGGAGGCTCCGTTAGAGCCTGGAATTCCTCCCAGTGGAACAGGGGATGTTCCAGGAAGAGCTCACGTGGGTCAGCCTTCCCGGTCAGCACCGAGGCCCCTGGATGCCAGCCTCCCTCAAGTTCTGGTCGAGTGAAATTACAGAGGGCAGCGCGTGACGGTAACTAGAAGCGCAGCCTAAATCATTCTTGCAACAAAAACCCACATCCGTCTACGACTCTGCCGACTTGACGTTTCTCCTGGAGAACCAGGTGCGCACGCCAGTGTTGCTGTCCCGCTGGAGGGAGCTTTGTGAACCAGCCTATTCTAAAGCATGGATTTGTGGCTCACGCCTGTAATCTCAGCACTTTGTGAGGCTGAGACGGGCAGATCACCTGAGGTCACGAGTTCGAGAGCGCCTGGCCAACATGGTGATACCCCGTCTCTACTAAAAATACAAAATATTAGCCAGACGTGGTGGCAGGTGCCTGTAGTCCCAGCTACTCAGGAGGCTGAGGCAAAAGAATCGCTTGAACCTGGGAGGCAGAGGTTGCAGTGAGCCGAGACTGCGCCACTGCACTCCAGCCTGGGTGACAGAGCGAGACACCATCTCAAAACAATAAATAAATAAAGCACCAATTTGTAATCGAACTGCATGGCGTGTAACCAGTGTCTTCCAACAGGTGTCCCCATGACTGATTCTGGGAGGGTCACCTCTTTACCAAGAGCATGGTAGGTAGAAAACTTCCAGATTTCTTCAAAAGTCTTAAACGTCACCACGATCCGGTCCTGGTCACTGTGGATGGACAGCAGCCTGGCTGATAACTCCTGAAGAGAAAGATACAGGAGTTCCAGAAGTCCCCAGGAGCCCTGGGGCATCTGTCAGGAGGACAGGGTCCACATGACAGGGACATCTGGCTGATGTGGCCCCGGTGGGGGATGACACGCCCAGGGAAGATTCCTTCCCAGCCTGTCAGCTCCTCCTCCCCTGCTCTCAAGCCAGCTGGGGCTCCCCAGAGCCTGTGGGGAAAAGCCCCTGCCCTGCCCAGAACTCATGTGGCCCCCATGCCCTGGCCCCTCACCCTCGACGCCTCCTGCTCAGCACCCACACACTGGTGCCCACCGGTCCCCCCGGCCTAAGCTGGTCCCTGTTTGGCTGTGCTCTCAGCCCTGAGCCGCCCTGGCCCCACCTGCAGTGCCAGCTCTGATTTCTTTCCCACCGCCAACATCCCCTCTCCTCTGGTTTCTCTAAATCAGTGTTGATAGGGGCACAAAAAATAACAGCAGCTAACACTGGAGCTCTTACGACTCGGGAATTGTGTGTCTGGGGGCACTATAGTCTCCATTTGAGAAAAAAAATAAGGCCCTGCTTCTTTTTTCTTTTTCTTTTTATTATTTTTATTTATTTTTTTTTATTTTTGACAGAGTCTAGCTCTGTCACCCAGGCTGGAGTGCAGTGGTGTGATCTCGGCTCACTGCAACCTCTACCTCCCAGGTCCAAGCAATTCTCTGCCTCAGCCTCCCAAGTAGCTGGGATTACAGGCACCTGCCACCACGCCTGGCTGATTTTTATATTTTTAGTAGAGACAGGATTTCACCGTCTTGGCCAGGCTGGTGTTGAACTCCTGACCTTGTGATCCACCAGCCTCAGCCTCCGAAAGTGCTGGGATTACAGGTGCGAGCAACTGCACTGGGCCTTTTCTTTAGTTTTGTAGAGCTGAGGTCCCACTCTGCTGCCCAGGCTGGAGTGCGGTGGCACAATCACGGTTTCCTGCAGCCTCAGCCACCTGGGCCAGGTCATCCGCCCATTTTAGCCTCCCGCATGGCTGGAACCACAGGTGTGCACCATCACGCCTGGCTAACTTTCTTATTTTTTGTAGAGACAAGGTCTCCCTATGTTCCTCAAGCTGGTCTTGAACTCCTGGGCTCAAGTGATCCTCCTTCCTCATTCTCCCAAAGTGCTCGGATTACAGGTGTGAGTCACCATGCCCCCTGAAGGCCTCATTTCTTATCCACAGTCTGACCTCTGTAAGTGGCTCAGCTGAGATTCAAGCCTGGAGCCAGCACGCTGACCCAGTTCACCCCTGCCTGTCATCGCCCACCACAGCCCCACGTATCGAGCAGGTACTATGCATCCAGCACCCTGCAGGTGCTTGGTGTGAGTTAATCACATAATCCTCAAGTCGGCTGCTGGGGATGTGATTGTAAGCATCCCCAGTATGTGGCTGAGGAAGGGGGGCTCACAGAGGCTAAGGGGCACCAGCCAAGGCCAGGCTGGTCCAACCCCAGTCAGTGCTGGTAACGCCCAGCCTGGCTCCCAAGCCCCTGGCCCTCAGCCACGGGGAGGTCTGCCAGGCCCAGACACACCCTGTGCCCTCCTCCCCAGAATGCTGGTTTGCACAGAGGCTCAAGGGAGGCGGGCTTTGTCACCAGGAAAAAAATAAGACAAGCTTCACACTTGTCCTTTAACTCCCCATCAAAGAGACTTTGACAGTCTTCAAGGGTGGAGGGCAGGGGGAGAAAGGGACAGCTCGGTGGTCACCAGGGCTGGGGCTGTGGGACAGCAGAAGGACGGTCACGTGCCCCCCACGAGGCAAGTGGGAGAAACAGGCCCTCACCGCCCCTGGCGACCACAGCCTCCCCTCCAAGGCCACCGCTTGCCTGAGTGGCTCTCATCTCTGAGGCCGGCCTCCTGTATCCCTGGTCCCAGGCACTGCACCCCAGCCCCTCCCTCCCCTCAACTCCAGCCCTTGCCCCTGCCCAGGCCCCAGAGGACTACTCACCCCGAGCACGTGGGCCATCTCCCGGCTGTCATTCTCCAGAAGGCGGAGCTGGCCCCGCAGAGCCTGCTGCAGGCGGGGGTCCTGCAGCCCACTCTTCCTCTGCACAGCCAGCAGCTGCAGGGTCAGGTCTGGAGGGGCAGACGGAGGTTGGGCAGTTGGCCTGGCCTGGGCGGGGAGGTCTGTCGGGCACTGTCCTCCCCCGCAAGCCTCCAACCCACATACCTGACCCCGAAGGCCTGGGGAGCCCAAGCCCCGGGTTGCCAACCTTGTCCCACCCCTGCAAAGGCCTTGGACCGTCGCTTAGGTCCCAGCCTGTTTCCTTCGGAGTGAGTGCCTGTCCTACAGAGTGATGGGGACAAGCGGACTCACGTCCCCTGCAGGCCAGCACAGCAACCACTGCACACAAATGAACTCTCCTCCCTGTCACCACGACCTCCGATCCTGCCCCCCAGCGCCTGCCCCAGACGGCTGCCGCTTCAGAACCTGCAGGCGCAGGACCTGGGCATCTGCATTTAGCAAGCCCCTCCTCCACCCCCATGGCGACTGTAGAGGGGGAACTCTGGGACCATGCGGGCACCCACCTCCAGCAGACACCCTACAAGCACCTTGGAAATCTCAGTTCCGCCTTCCTAAGCCAGCTCCTCTCCACTTCTTCCCCTTCTCTCAAGGGCAGAGGGCCCCCATACTGTCCCGAGCTCAGATCAATGACACCTCCCCACTCACCACATCAGCTACCAGCAAGCCCCATGGGCTCCACCCTCCACCCCACCCCTGTCCCTGTCGTGGTTCTGGGCCCTGGCGGGTCTGCCCTGGGCAGCTGTCCACACCTGGCCCTCCCTCCTGTCTGTCCCCTGGTCCGAGCAGAGCTTTGACATGACATGCATGCGTGGACCCATCGGCCCTGCTCCGGCCGTCCCTGTGGCTCCATCCAGTGGAAACTTCTGCAGCAGTTGGCATGTGCTCTGTCTGCCGTGTCCCATTCGGGGCCACCCGAGGCAGGGGCTGTGGAACTCCTGAGATCCATGCCCCTCCTCACTCTGCGAGGCTGGAGATTTCCCACCAGAATCCAGGCTCCCATGCTGTGACCCCGTCTGCCCTGTGCACGATCCCTTCCCAGTGCCTGGAACCGCGGAGAAAAAAGCCTTCCCGTTCCTCCAGGTCAGCACTCAGCCCCAGAGCTATAGGCAGCGGCATTCTAGGGGCTTTGGCCCTCTATGGAGGGGGCTGCCCCAAGGGAGACGCAGGGAGAGGGGGAAGAGAATGAGGAGTAGAAGGGGAGAAGGAGAGCAGGGAGAGGGGAGAAAACAGGAGGGGGAGAGGGAGGAAGACGGGAGACACCAGGAGGAGAAGAGAGAGGCAGGGGGCGGAAAGAGAGGGAAGGAGTGGGAAAAAAGTGAGAAGGAGGGAGTGGGGAGAAACCAGGAGGGGGAGAGGGAGGGAGGGCGAGAGAGAGATGGAGAAGAGGCAGAGAGAGATGGACTCTCACAGCTTTGAATGAGCTTGAAGCACCTGCCTGAGAGCTTTCTGCAGGGGATCGTGGAGGAAACACCCTCCCCCCTGCCGAGACTTCTGGAACCTGGAATCCACGCCCCCAGGAGGAGGCACAGCCCATCACTTCACAACCCATGTTAGCCTGAAGCTCCTGCTCCCGTAAGAGGGTGGGCGTTGCATTTTCTTCTCTTTTTTTTTTTTTTTTTTTTTTTTTTTTTTTTTTTTTTTTGTTAGAACAGAGTCTCGCCCTGTCGCCCAGGCTGGAGTGCAATGGCGCAATCTTGACTCTCTGCAACCTCTGCCTCCTGGGTTCAAGTGATTCTTCTGCCTCAGCCTCCCTAGTAGCTGGGATTACAGGCACGTGACAGCTAATTTTTTGTATTTTTAATAGAAATGGGGTTTCATCATATTGGCCAAGCTGGTCTTGAACTCCTGCCCTCAAGTGATCTACCCGCCTTGGCCTCCCAAAGTGCTGGGATGACAGGTGTGAGCCACCGCGCCTGGCCTGCATTTATCAAATTCTAAATCATCTGGCCCATTGCCTAACATGTCTTGGTCATCCTGAGGGGCCACCAGCCGTGCTGACCACACAGAAGGAACGTCAGAGGACAGGTGGCTGCCACAGCAATGGTGAAAAGCCAGCAATGGATGCGGGGTCTCCCCTCCTCCCCAGCCAGGGTCGGGGGTCTCCAGGGTAAAGGGCTTCTTACCACCTCCACAGCCCCCAGCTTCCTGGGTCCCCTCTGTGGGCTCTGCTCCCTCCACCTGTGCCCCGTGGAGATCCCGTCCAGGGGAGGCCTGCGCCTGGACACCTTGCCCTGAGATGTAGTGGGAATGCTCGTCCACTTCTTTTTTTGTTTGTTTTTGAGACGGACTCTTGCTCTGCCCCCAGGCTGGAGTGCAGTGGTGTGATCTCATCACTGCAACCTCTGCCTCCCGGGTTCAAGCGACGCTCCTGCCTCAGCCTCCGGAGTAGCTGGGACTACAGGCGCACACCACTACACCCAGCTAATTTTTGTATGTTCAGTAGAGACAGGATTTTACCACGTTGGCCAGGATGGTCTTGATCTCCTGACTTCATGATCTGCCCGCCTCAGCCTCACAAAGTGCTGGGATTACAGGCGTGAGCCACCGTGCCTGGCCTTTTCGTCTGCTTCTTACCATATGGCACTTGTGAAGCCCCTCCCCAGGGTGTCATCCATGGAGTCCCCAGGATCTGTGTCCCCTGTTTGTGCAGATATACACAGGAACACCCAAGGGAGCCCCCAAGGGCTGTGTCCCCCGCTAGGCGCAGGCCTCAGGCATCTGCATTTAACAAGCCCCGCTTTCTATTCCCACCGTGATTTAAGGTGGGAAGTCTGAGGCCACCCTTTGAGAAGCCCTGGGTTAGACAGTCTTTGACACTCAGGGAGCACCACAGCCCAGATTTGAACCCGAAGCCCTGTGTCGGGCCAAGGACATTTACCTGTGGGATAAGCTCCCATCTGGCAGGGAGGGGTCCCAGCAGCAGGCCCATCCGCCCGGGCAGGAGGAGCGTCATCTGCAACACAGCAGATTCCCAAGATTAGGGGAGACCAGGTAAACGCCTGGCTCCTCTGAAGGCGCCAAACGCCCCAGGTCTCTCTGCAGGAAAAGAGGTGAGTTCTGTCCCACACAAGCCCCCTTCCCACAGCTACCTTCTTCCAGGCTCCTCACAGCTCAGCAAGGAGGGAAGCTGCCTCCATGTCCCGCCGTGCTATGACCAGCTGCCCCACACTCCGTGGCTTAGGACAACAACATCAATGGAATGATCCTGCCGCTCTGGAGTTCCAGTGGGCCCCACAGAGCTAAAGTGACGGTGTGGGCGGGACTCCGCTCCTTTCAGGGCCTCTGGGGAGAAGCCACTCCTCGCCTTCAAGAGGCTGCACACATCCCTTGGCTTGTGGCCCCAACTTCTACTTCTGTTGTGTCAGCATGTCTCCCTCCTGCCTTCCTCCTGCAAAGGCCCTGCGATTGCACGGAGGGCCTGCCCGGAGCACCTGGGAGCACCCGGGAGCATCGCCTCTCCATCTCCAGGCTTTGCCTTCCATCACATCTGCAAAGTCCCTTTTGCTGGATGACGTAATGCAGACAAAGGTCCGGGGTTAAGGATGGGAGCATCTTTGGGGGACTTTATTTTGCCACCCACCGACAGGCTCAGACTCATGGCTTGTGCGGGTGGGAAGCAGGACCTGGGCCCCCCTGTCTGTTGGGTTCCCCGCTGGGGTCGCCCCTCTGGCCATTGGTCCTGCAGAGTTTGCATCTTGGCCCTGGCACTTTCTCTCGGCCCTGTGAGGTTTCTTCATCCAGAGGCCTCGGGATCCAGGGGAATGTGACTGGGAAAACTCTTGGACTTGCATCACGATGGTGCCATTTCACACCAGGGTTTGCTGACGGGCTGCAGTGGTGTTCACTTGCCCTGTGTGGCCAGAACCCATTCTTAGGCCTCATTGGCTTTGCAGCCCCCGCCCAAGCCCAGAGCCAGGCACACAGTGGGGCTCAGAAATGTCCCTACTGGGTCCGGTGCGGCGGCCACGCCTGTAATGTCAGCACCAGGGGGGCTGAGCGGGCGGATCACTTGAGGTCAGGAGTTTAAGAGCAGCTTGGCCAACATGGAAAACCCCATCTCTACTAAAAATACAAAATTTAGCCAGATGTGGTGGCAGGTGCCTGTAATTCCAGCTACTCGGGGGGCTGAAGCAGGAGAATCACCTGAACCTGGAAGGCAGAGGTTGCAGGGAGCCAAGATTGCACCACTGCACCCCAGCTTGGGCAACAGAGCAAGAAGGAAGGAAGGAGGGAAAAAGGGAAGGAGGGAGGGAGGAAAAGAAGGAAAGAAGAAAGAAAAAAAGAAAGAGCAAGAAAGAGAAGGGGGAGGGAAGGGAAAGGGAGGGGAAGGGGGGGGGGGGGGGGGGGGGGGGGGGGGGTGGGGAGGAGAAGGGGAGGAATGTCTTGAAAGGAAAGAGGCGTGTGTGCTCAGATCTTGGTCCCGCTGGCCTGGCCAGTGCACCTGGCAGTGGTATGTGAAGCACACCCCGCGGCTACCCCCACGGGCTGAGAAGAATGTGTGCTTGGACTTCTGAGCCAGAGAGCCCAGCAGCGGCCAGCCTGGAGATTCGCTCCCTATCTGAGGAAGATCTGAGCCCCTGGCTTATCCTGTGGAATGCAGGACATGCAGACCCGGGCGCTCTGTTTGGAAGGGTTGGACTGGGGTTGCCAGGTGGAGGATGCTAGAGGGAGGGTGTGAGGGAAGATGCTCCATCAACGGCACGCTTTTCACGGGGGTGCCCTCCCCCCCGCTGCCACGGAACCACCCGGTGTGCGAGTCTTCTCCATCAACCTTCTGTCACGGCTGCTGGCTCTGCGTCTCCTCCTTGGCCTCTTCAACAAGGTGCCACCCCTGTTGAAGTTGACAGGGGTCCGGCCCGACAGCTTCTAAACCCCATCCTCCAGTTCAGAAGCCAGGGCCATGCCAGGGAAAGTACCAGCTGAGCCTGGAACGCCTCATGTCCCGGAAAGTGATAACGAGCCCACTGAGTGAGGAAGACACGTGGAAAACCCACATCCAGGTGATTCGAGCGACAAAATAAGTAATGACCTATGCAGTCCGGAGACTCAGTTAAACATGTGTGAGCCGGCCGGGGGTGGTGGCTCACACCTGTAATCCAAGCACTTTGGAGGCCAAGGCGGGCAGATCACCTGAGGTCGGGAGTTCAAGACCAGCCTGGCCAACATGGTGAAACCCCGTTTTTAAATAAAAAAAAAAAAAAAAAAAAGATGTGTGAGCCTACGCTGAAATAAATCAGTGAATAACTGGGTAGGCTCTTCCTTATAGTAGAGGGCTGGCTGCTGAGTGGAGACCGGAGCCCTCAGCCGACAGTCACTGCCCCGCAGCCTCCATCCCAAGGATTATTTCAACCAGGCTCACCCACGATGAGACGGTCGTGCTTCATGAGTGTGATGAGGAAGAGGATATTCACGCAGTTTCAGAGTGTCACCCCCCCGCTACTTACTAACTACAGAGGGAAGAAAAGTGACCACACAGCTGCCCCTCACCAACGATCAAAATGGGCGTCACCAGCCAGAGACAGACAGACACCATCTGCAGTGAGGAAACGTCATTCTGAGGGATTCCTGCCCCAAATCCCTGATGTGACCCTGAAGAAATACTAGCTGCACTGGAATCGAGGGACAGCCTACAAAAGAAACGAACTACATTCTTCAAAACAGCAGCCTCCGGATTGAAAGGCACCTCAGAGAGGTCGCAGCAACACAAGGTGTGACCCAGGAAGTTTTTTTCCCTTTTGCTATAAAATATATTATTGGGACAAACAGCAAGGTCTGAACAAGGTCTGCAGATGAGTAATGGCGTTATTAAAAGAGGAAATTGACACTGAAATAATTACGATGCAGTTATTAAGAGAATGTCCTGGCTTTAGAACTATGGACACCTTTTAGGATGAAGGAGGAGCATATCCGCAACTGACTCCCAAAAGGGTCAGAAGAAAATCACACGCACACACACGCACACACAAGTACACACACAAAGTAAAAGTAATAAGATGTGAACATTTGAGGAATCTGGGTGTGAGCAAAAGGAATTATCTCTATCCTCCGCTGCTGCCTTGGCTGTCTATCTGAAATTGCCCAGAGAAGTGGAGGAGGTGAAGGCGCTGAGGAGGAGCCCCGCCCCAGGCCAGCTTTCCCTCGGCCATCCAGCCTCCTAAGCAGGGAGCGGCTCCTCAGCTGGCATCAGCTGGGCCCACAGAAACTGGCTCCAGGCGGAGGCGATGCCACGGTACTTTGCTGAGCCTCCGGAGGAGGAAACTCCAGCCACTCTGGCCAAAGGCTCTGACTCCCAGCACTCCCCGTCCAGAGGCTCCCAGGTCCTGCCTGGGCCCATTGGCTCTGTGCCAGGCTGGCCCGCGGCCCTCCTGCGTCTCAGTCTCCTTGTGCACTCAGGAGCCTGGGCACGGCCCAGCCCCTTCCTTTCCGGGAGGCCTGCTTTGCAGGGAACTCGATTCCATGGCGGGGTGGGGTCCCCAGGCCAGGCCCCGCCCCAGCCCTCCGAGCCGCCCTTCCTGGCGGGCAGGCCGGTGCCTGCAGACCACTTCCCCTTGTGATTCAGCGCAGGAGGCCCCCCTTCCCATCTCCACCCTCACGCAGAAGGGCAGGATCACAGGTATAAAGCACTCCCCACACCTGGCTCTGGGCCAGCGACAGCACTGGGCTATTGATGCCATGGTCCAAACGCATCTTCCTTCATTGATCCCTTGAACAGTGACGGAGCAGCTACCCTGTGCCAGGCCCCAGAGTTCCGAGACGGGAGGGGGACAGTCATGAGGGGACCGGGCTAACGCTGGACAGAGGGAGGAGAGGCCCAGGGAGAGGTCATAGTGGCAGCTATCTCTCGCTGGGGAGGGGCCGTGCAGGCCTTGGTCTCCCTGTCTCTCCCTTCCTCCCCTTCAGGGTCCCAGGACGGAGAGGGATTCAGGAGACTGGGCTCACGTCCTGGCCCGGTCCCTGACTGCAGGGTGACCTGGCCTGGCCCTTCCCTGTCTGCACCTTGGGTGCTTCCTGGGGACAAGGGATGCCCCATCCTGAGGACTCCCGGGGGTTCTAAGGCCAAAGCCATGGGACTGTGTCTGGAGTGTGTCTGAACACGTGGCTTCAGAGGCCCCTGCCTTGTTCTTTGCCAGTTTTGTTATCACTGACGCACACCTGGAAAAACACGAGCTGGGCCCTGGCCTCTCAAGTGACTCAGCAGGCGCAGTTCCTCCTGTTAAACACACTCGGGGCAGGGGGTGGGGGTGGGGCGGGCACGGTGGCTCACGCCTGTTATCCCAGCACTTTGAGAGGCTGAGGCAGTTGGATCATGAGGTCAGGAGTTCAAGACCAGTCTGGCCAACATCATGAACCCTCATCTCTACTAAAAATACAAAAATTAGCCAGGGGTGGCGGCACGAGCCTGTAATCCCAGCTACCCGGGAGGCTGAGGCAGGAGAATCGCTTGAACCCGAGAGGCGGAGGTTGTGGTGAGCTGAGATCGTGACATTGCACTCCAGCCTGGGCAACAATGCGAGACTCCGTCTCAAAAAAAATAGATAAATAGTGACTTCACAGGATTTATGACAGAGGCAATCAATTAAAAAAAGAAAAAAATAGATAAAAATAAATAAACATGCAGGGGAAGGAAAGGGAGAAGTTTCGGAGACTAGACCCCAGCCCCAGCCTCAGCCCCAGCCCCAGCCCCAGCCCCAGCCCCAGCCCCAGTCCCAGCCCCAGCCCCAGTCCCAGCCCCAGCCCCAGTCCCAGTCCCAGGAGGCCCGGAGGCGGACAGGGAGGTGAGGGATAGGTGGGCGGGAGGGGGGGGTGGAGAAGTGGGTGGGGAGGGTGGGGAGGGTGGGGTGGACTCACCGCCTCTCCCCGGGGCCTTGGCCTCCTCAGGCCCCGCTTTCTCCCAGCTCACAGAGGGCCTCATGGCCACAGTCCCGACCTGGTCCTGGCTGCCGCCACTTCCCGACAGCCCCACAGGCCCCCTCCCCCTGGGGGTCGGCTCCTCAGTGGTCATGGCAGGGAGGTTCTCCATGACCCGTGGAGGCTTCACATGCCTGGCCCTGTGGACAAAAGGGGTGTGGTCAGCAGAGGCGGCCCCTCCAGGACCAGCACGGAGGTCATGGCCAGGGCTGGGGTCCAGGCGTTGCGGAGTGCCTGCGCCTCTCAGACCCAGCGGGGCCCTCACCGCAGCAGGGGGCCACAACCTGTGCTGCGGCCGCGATCCCCACCGCTGCGGGGCCTCCTCTTGCTGGTTTTCTGCCTGGAGGCCCGTTCCCCATCGAGGCAGAGCCCCTGGGTGCCTTGGGCCCCTCCTCAGGAGCAGGTCACTGCCTCTTTCCTGGGCCGTCACACCTGACAGATCCTGCTCCAGGAGTCGGGGCTCGGTGGCCTGTCAGAAGGCACAGAAAGAAGGACACAGAGTCCCCCTTCAGGTGTCACGTGCAGGTGAGGGGCCATGGGGCCAGCAGCCTGGGCCAGGGCTGAGGCATGCAGGGGACAAATCCCAGCTGCGGCCACAGAGACAGGGTCAGTCACGTCCTCCTCAGCTCTGGCCTTGGGCAGAGGGGCTGATGAGAGGAGGCAATGGCAAGAGTGTAGTCAAGACACCTGCTGTGCCCGCAGGGAGGGCCCAGTCACGTGGGGAGCCCTGGTCCCTGACTGTGGGTGGGGAAGGGTCAACCGTGCCCCGCAGAACGCTGTGGACTGGGCGGTTTTCAGGCCCAGAGCCTCGGGGAGCGATGGGGATGCAGAGGAAGGGGAGGGGCTGTGTCCGCGCCTAGGGTGGGGTGACCGGCCTCTCCGCTGCTGCCCCTTCGTGGTGAAGATGTGAGGTGGGGAGCACTAAGCCAGCTTTCCTTCAGCACCCTGCCCCTGTGAGACTTCTGAGCAAACACTGGGACACACTTTCCAGCGCGTGGACGTGTCCCCTTGTCCCCGGCAGCGGGCAAAAATCCCCTCTGCAGGCAGGGCACAGAGAACCCGGGCAGCCATGCCTCGGACCTCTGTTTGGGGCA